AAACCAAAGTAAATGATTCTTACCTTAAACAATTTTCATATCTTTAAGCTTTTAAAAAGTGTCCTGACTTCTTTGGAAGTGCTGTAGGTGGAACATCCCTTTCCTATGGATGGAGGGAAGTAGGACAATGACGTTGGATGCTGCTCGTCGATCACTTTTGGACTTAAGCCGTTTTCTTCCAAACCTTATTAGTTATCTGAGGTAGGTGTGGAGCAGGAAATAGTCCTTGTTTCCAGGAAATAGTCCTTGTTTCCAGGAAATAGTCCTGGTTTCCAGGTGAGCTGCTTGAGAATGTTTCCTCACTGTGCAGAAATCAGGGGATTCATCGGGAGCATGAACGGCATCGAATGGTTGGGATGACACAGCCCGGAAAAGTGGCATGGATTGGAAACAGGCAACTGGGAAGTGGGCAAATAAACCATCCTCTGTGGTTCCATGGACCTCCTGCCTCATTATGTGACTTGTCTTATGGCAGTGGAATGCCCAGCTGGCTTTGGGAGGGATGGGATGGATGGAGTGTAGTCTCAGGCCTTGGGTGAGGGAGGGTTGGAGGGGGAGCATGGATAAGGATCCAGCAATCCCATGACTAATTCCTTTTGCAGAGAACACGTGCTGGAGTTGTGTTGTCGAGCAGGAAATGTCAGCTGTGTGTCTGGAGATCAGAGTTGCCTTCTACACCCCAGGAAGGTGTTTACACAAAACAGAAAGTCGCTGCTAACCTGAGATAAGTCGGGTTTTTGTGACGCTTGTTCGTCTCTTTTACACTCTGAACCATCTTTCCACTGTCCTCGCCCTCTCTTTGAATTTTGGGTCTTCCCTGGGTGTGACAGGTACCAAAAAGCACAACGTCAGCAGAGCACCTCGTGTGTTTGGTGCTGGGATTTGTTGGACCTGGAACTGGTTTGCTCTCCTGTGTTTCTCACGCCCCAGTTGGGCAAGTGGCAAAGAGCTCAACCTTTTTGCAGCTCATTGGCATCGGTTTTTGTGCACTAGTGATGTTTGGAGGATCAGGTATTTACTGTCTACCATAACTGGCATTGCAGTGTGTGAGATGATCCTGCACTCAGTCCTTGGGAGCTGGGTATATCCTTTTATTTCTCTTTAATTCAGCTTTCTTTTGTTGTTTTGTTACTTGATTTCCTGTAGGAAAGCAAACTCCAAACATTTTGCCAATTCTGATAAGCAGCCAGAGGTGGGGGCAGTTACTGCTCTGTGGAGATTTGCTGTTGTTGGGGTCAGACTCTTTGGGGTGGGTTTTGTCCCTGGCAAGAGCCTGTGATCTTTTTGCTCAACTACTTCAGGCAACAGGGAAGAAAAGCAAGATTTCCTGAAGCAAAAGGCTTTGTGTCTTTGCCCTTCAGCTTTGCAGCTGCAACTAAGCCAGCAAGGGGTTGGAATTGTGATGAGGTGAGATGTGACAGGGAAAAAAAGATATAAATTGCAGCTTTTTCACGTGTTTTGTGCATTCAGCTTGTTTCCCTGCTGGAATTATCCTGCCTGTTCCAGGATGAGGGTGCCAGTGTGCCAGGGGCTTGGGCAGTGGCACTTCTGGTAGAACTGGGCTGTGTCCTCCAATAAAATACGGTGTTGGAGGAGGGGAGAGGAATTTTCCCATTCATGTTGCAGCAACCTGTGAGATTTTTCCCTGTTTTCTCAGGCTCTGTGTCCCAGTGCCCCTGATGGACACGATCCACTGGCAAAGCCCTGTGGAAGTGAGTGTGTGGATTGTTTTAAGGCATTTCCTCTTTATTTTCATATATTTTCTCTTTGTTATATTCATTGCCTCTCTTTAAACCGTTGCCTCTCTTTATTTTGCCCCTCTCTGTATTTTATATTTATCTTTATTCCCTTTCTTATGAGGAAGAAAGGTTTACCAATAAAGTCTGGAGCTGTAATAAACCCACCAGGCTTTAGTGCTGCTTTTTCAGGGATGGATTTTGTAGTGAACATTGCAAACACAATTGTTCTTGTCTCCTCTGTCAGGAATGTGCCAGAGTGGGGAAGATGTGGAGAAATTTTGTTTGTTTTGGTCTGGGAGAGTCTGGACCCTGCTTTCTGTAGGCTCATTTCTAACCTGCCTTTACCTTAAAAATGGAAAACATCCAACCTGTAGCAGGAGCTTTGCCGTTGGCTCAATTATTTCTTAATCCTCTGTGTTTTTTGCAAGCTGGGCCTTTGAGTTTATCACAAAACAAGAACACAGTGAAGCTCTGAGAGGTTCTGGCTGCTCAGGAAGTGACTTTTAATGGTGGTGGCATTAAACCCTTCAGCTGTAACTACTCACTCTGTTGAAGAAATGTTTGTAAAGCGTTATAAATAGTGGTTTTTTTCCCCATGTTTCAAATCTATTTGTTTCACTTTCAGCTGTCAACACTTCAGCCTGTAATGAAATGCCTTATTCTTGTAAGAAATCTCAATTTCTTAAGATACCTCGTCTGTTCTCGTTAGTAGCTCAGTGACAGTCCTGCAGTTAAAAGTGTGAAGAAAGTTCTCAGGGTATTCAGGCTTAAAAAAATGAATTCCTGGTACATCCAGAGGGTTTGTGGAAGTCTGCAAGGAAGGCTTATCTAGGATTTGCAGCCAGGTTCCTGAGCTCTGGTGCTGTGGTTCAGCAGAGCAGAACCGTGGCAGGTTTGAGTTCAGTCTGCTTGGGTGCAAACCTCATTAAATACATGAATCATCTAATTTAGGGCTTTGAAATGACATGGTTTCAGTGTGGGGAAATCCTACAAGGAGATCTACAAGGTCTCTTGCAGGTGCTGGAAAAATTGCTGTCTGATGGATGGGAGTTTTGGGGTGGTTTTGCTGAAACTAAGGATACCACACTTTCTAATTGGCACTTCAGGTTTAAGAATTAATGTGAAAAAAATTAATGTATGTGACTGCTTTGCACAGTTTGAAGGACTAGAGAGGATGGGAGCGTTTGGACTTGATTTCAGAGACTGCAAATGCAAGTTCTGGTTGGGTTCTTTGGCCTTCAGTGGCTGGGGAATTGCAGAAGCCTCATGTGCTGGATTGGTTTAGTGCCAGTGATACCCATCAAGTATTACTTTGAGTTTGATCTTTTGGGATTGACTAAAAAATACTCAGGGTGTGAGTAATGGTTTTGTGAAGGGCATTTACTGGTTCTGTACAGAGTGCCACTTGTGGCAGTGGATTCCAGGCATTTCACTGCCTTGGGATTTCTTGGGAATCCCGAATTCTGCAGGATTCTGATGATGAACAAGCCACTGTCAAGCCCTGAGATGAATTTTTCAATCGAATTTTTCAATCAAACTCAGGTTCAGGGGTTGATTTGGCTCCCGTGTGCCCAGCAGGGCAGCACTGGGTGCTCATGGGGCATTTGGGGTTTCGCTGCCTTGCAAAGGGTTTTTCTCACTTCCCGAAGAAGTGAAACCCTTGACAAGTCCTACCAGTTTGATTCATACTGGGAGGCAGCAAATGACTGTGTAAATGAAGATGTTAATTAATAGAAGGCAAAGCCCAGCTCCCCCATCCCAGCCAGGACACGCAGCTCCAATGGGAGAAGGAAGGAAAGGGAATGGGAAGATGTTCCCTTTAACCCAGGAACGGCGATATGGGATTGCACACAAATTGGGTTATAATTTCTTTCTATTTAACATCAGCCCTTTCTCTCCTTTCCTTTGAACCTGTGTGGATTAGTTTTGCATGGCAGAAAGGGAGGGAAGGAGTGGGAAGGGAAGTTTTCCAGAGTTAAGGACTGGCACAGCTCGGATATTGTCAGTATATAACTTGTTTTACATTCAGCTACAGGAATCGTAACTTTTCAACATTATTAGATGCTTGAAGGACAGGGCTTGAGAAATAATTACATTTATTGTAAATGTAATTATTTACAATAATTATTTACAATAATTGCATTTACAGGGATTAAGAAACAGTTACATTTACAGCTTTATTTTTTACTGGCAACTTATCCTTTTCTCAGTGGTTTTTTTCCCCCCCAGCATTGCTGTCCTTCAGGAATGGAAATCCCTTGAAAAACTGCTGTTTAAAATAGATATATCTTGTAAGCAAGTCCTGCTTTGCATTGTACTGAAGATAATCAGTGGGACCAGAATGGAGGTGTTGACTTTTTAACATTATAGGTGCTTGAAGGACAGTGATTACAGATTTATTTGTTACTGGCAACTTGTCCTTTTCTCAGAGTTTTCCCCCCCAGCATTGCTGTCCTTCAGGAATGGAAATCCCTTGAAAAATTGCTGTTTAAAATAGATATATGTATAAGCAAGTCCTGCTTTGCATTGTACTGGAGATAATCAGTGGAGGTGTTGACTTTTTAATATGAAGGACTTTTAACTTGAAGGACAGTGATTAAGAAATAATTACATTTACAGCTTTATTTTTTACTGGCAACTTATCCTTTTCTCAGTGTTTTTTTCCCCCCCCCCAGCATTGCTGTCCTTCAGGAATGGAAATCCCTTGAAAAACTGCTGTATAAAATAGATATATATGTATAAGCAAGTCCTGCTTTGCATTGTGCTGGAGATAATTGGGGGGGCAGAGCAGTGGCACTGTCTGATAGAGCAGCTGGGTGGGCACTTGGTGTCCAGCCAAGGCCAACCCACCACAATGCCCTACCTGTTTTGATAACAGTTGTTCCTGCTTGGGCAGTTGGAAGTTTCAAGTCAGTTGTAAAGACTGACCAGGTTCAGTTTTTTAGGAATTGTTGGCATGCTTGCCCTGGGAACCAGCTGGGATGTGACAGGGTTTATATGGGAAAAGCACTCGGTTGGTTTGCTGCAGGTGGGTTTTCTTGTGAGCTTTAAGGCCGTGCCAGGCACAGGGTTGGCTGGTGGAGCCGCCAAAAGGGCTGAAATGATAAAGCAGAAATTCGGAGTTTCTTGGAACAATGTGGTGAAAGAGGTGACACAACAAAGTCAAAAACTTTGTGCCTGGTGGGCTGACCCCCCCGTTGTGCTGTTGCTGTGTGAGATGCTGTCACCCCAACGCTGACTTTCTGTGTTGTTCCCTTGAAGCAAATGGTTATGAGCCTTCGAGTTTCGGAACTTCAGGTGCTGCTGGGCTACGCGGGGAGGAACAAGCACGGCCGCAAACACGAACTGCTCACGAAAGCCCTGCACCTGCTCAAGGCCGGCTGCAGCCCCGCCGTGCAGATGAAAATCAAAGAACTCTACCGGAGGAGGTTCCCCCAGAAAATCATGACCCCCGCAGACCTGTCCATCCCCAGCGTGCACTCGAGCTCCATGCCGGCCACGCTGTCTCCATCCACCATTCCACAGCTCGGCTACGACGGCCACCCCGCCACGTCCCCGCTGCTCCCCGTGTCCCTGCTGGGCCCCAAACACGAACTGGAACTGCCCCACCTCACCTCGGCCCTGCACCCCGTGCACCCCGACATCAAACTGCAGAAACTGCCCTTCTACGACCTGCTGGACGAGCTGATCAAACCCACCAGCCTCGGTAAGGACACGGCCAGCGACTCGGGGGCTGCACAGACAAATACACCCCCCGGGTGCTTGTGTAGATTATAGATCAATATGGTGGATATTAAATGTATATTGTACCTTATATCATATTACACATTACATATACATTACAGATGTTATATAGACTATATTTTATACATATTACATATTATATATATGTGTTATAATAGTCTATCTAATATATATTATAGTACATATTACATATAATATATAATATTAAAATATAATATATAATATATTATATAATTATATAATATATTATATTAATTATATAATATATAATATTATAATATATATTATAATATAAGTTATATTATAAAATGGAGTCTATATAATATCCTATAATAGTCTATTGCATATATTCTATAGGATATTATATAGACTGTATTTTATATTATATATAATATGTATTATAATATATAATATCCTATAGGATATTATATATCTACAGGATATATCAGTAGGATCTATAAGTAAATCCTATTGAATATATTCTATAGGATATTATATAGACTGTATTTTACATTATATATATTATATATAATGTGTATTATAATATGTAATATCCTGCAGAATAGGATATTGTATATCTATAGGATATATCAATAGAATCTATAATTAGATCCTATTGAATATATTCTATAGGAGATTATATAGACTGTATTTTATATATATTATATAGACTGTATTTTATATTATATGTATTATATATAATATGTATTATATAATATCCTATAGATTAGGATATTATATATCTGTAGAATATATCAATAGGATCTATAATTAGATCCTATTGAATATATTCTATAGGAGATTCTATAGACTATTTTATATTATATATTATATATAAAATATTATATGTACTATAATATATAATATCCTATAGAATATATTCAATAGACTATTATAGGATATTCAATAGACTATATTTTATATAATATATATTATATGTAATATATGTATTATAATATATATTAGGCTATTATAGGATATTATATAGACTATTATATATATTATAAAATTATATATAGTATATATAATTATATATATTTTTAAGTATTGAAGTATATATACTTTTTCAAGTTTTGAAGTATGTATATAAGTATGTTTTTATGTTTTGAAGTATATATATGTACTTTTTTCAAGTTTTGAAGTATATATATACATACTTTTTTTTAAATATAACCAACCTAGGTAAGAAAACATCGTAAGAACACTTGAATATATACATACATATTTTAAGTTTTGAAGTGTATATATACTTTTTTAAGTTTTGAAGTATATATTTTTTTTAAGTTTTGAAGCGTATATATATATATATTTTTAAGTTTCAAAGTATGCATATATCTTTTTTGAAGTACAATGGACCAATTGGCCTGCTAATGCAGTAAGTGGTTAAATATTGCATCACAGCAGTGTTTAGAGAATTGCTATTTTTGGTAACTTTTGGAACAGATTGTTCTACATGGAGAGACATCTTACGTAACACTCATTAGTTGCTTTAGCTGAGCCACTAAATATGCTTTAAACATCCGTTATATTTGAGGGGGGAGTTGGACAAAAAACAAACTAAACCTTAAAAAAAGGAAAAAAACCAGTCTGCTTTCAGGAGCTCTTGCAAACCATAGACTTCAATTATTAAAAAAAAAAACCAGAACCAAACTAAACAAAACTCCCCCCAAATCCATCAAGCCTAGAAAACCTCATCCGTGCTGGGAAAGAATTCCAGGCTGGATCCATTAGAGCCTGAACATTGTGAATTTGGGGAGACTCGTGGTTCTTTTGCTACGAGTTGTGGCTCCTTTTCCTGCAGCAGATTTTTGTATTAAGGTATCAATCCCTTGAGAGGAATCTGATGCTCCCAGAGCTTTATATAAGGATGTGAGATTTTTTTTCTGGCTCTCCCTGTAGCACTTTCCAGGGTGGCACTGCCTGAATACACCGGTGCTGTTGATTTTCTGGAGGGTTTCTGCTCGTGTGGTGGAACCTTGTGCTGTCTGAAAGCTCGGAAAAAACACTCCCTGCTGGGAGGAGGAGGAGGAGGAGATTGGTGAGAGGAGATACGGGGAGGTGGTGGGTGAGTGAGGAAAAAAAAAAAAGGAAAAAAGCCCTTTGCAAAAGAAATCCCTCGTAAACAAAAGCCAGCAGGTGCTTCCCAGTGCCAGCCTGAGGAACTGTGGGATGCCCAGGGTGTGAGCAGGGATGGTGCCTCTGGAATTCTGAGGGATCCGGCACAGCCCTCCGCGTGTTTGGTTGTAACTGAGACACTGAGGGTAAACCAGATGGTTTTGGGTGATTTATCAGCAAGACAAGAGGGCTCAGTCTTCAGCTGTGCCAGGGGAGGTTTAGGTTGGACATTAGAAAGAATTTTTTTCCAGAGAGGGTGCTCAGCCATTGGAATGGGCTGCCCAGGGAGGGGGTGGATTCTCCATCCCTGGAGGTGTTTAAGGACAGACTGGATGTGGCATCAGTGCCATGGGCTGGGAACCACGGCGGGGTTGGATCAAGGGTTGGACTTGATGATCTGGGAGGTCCCTTCCAACCCAGCTGATTCTGTGATTCTATGATTCATCTTCTGGTTCAGGTATTCTTTTCAGAGGTGTTCTGTAGCTGTTTAATCTAAAGCCTAATTGATTAATAAGCATTCCAGGCAACGCTGGTGGTATGAGATAATTACGTGCTCAGTATGTGCCCTCATCACTTTTAAATTATAAATACTTAAAAATAATGCTCTAATTTCCAGAAGACATTCCAATGCAGGAATTATGGAGTGCATTTGTTCCTAGATGTGGTAAGAGCACTTTGCTGTCAGCTCTGTGTCAGACAAGGCAGCCCCAAATGGAGGGATCAGGATTCAAGCTCTGCCATATCTCATTGCCTCAGGAGTTGATACACAGTGGGATGTTCTCCCCCTTTTGTGGACTCTGTCAGGGTAAGAAGATGGAAGTGGCTGGAATTCCAAGCAGGTACCTTTGTAAGGAGTTTCTGTCCCTTCTGTTAACTTAAAGGGTACATTTGGGGTTTTTATGGGAGTTCTGGCTGCAGGTGTCTTTGTTTTTCTGAAGTAATACTATTAAAAAGCTTTTTTTTCTTATACATTTGGGGGAAGAGGGACCTTCAGTGTCTGTGCATATGTGGAATGGTTTGGGTTGGAAGGGAACTTAAAGACATCCAGTCCCACCCCCTGCCATGGGCAGGGACACCTTCCACTATCCCAAGTTGCTCCAACCTGGCCTGGGACACTTGCAGGGGTGGGGCAGCCACAGCTTCTGTGGGCAACCTGTGCCAGGGCCTCCCCACTCTGCTCAGCAGGCTTGGATAAATTTTCTCCATTTATACAGTTACTGATACTTTTATAAATTCTTAAATTATTCATTGAATATTTGCCCCAAATGGTTTGGGGATCCTTCTCGCTGCTGCCAACAATGTGGGTTTGCTCAGATGTCCAGTTTGTGGGTCCCCTGGTGTGTTTTCCGATGGCAGATCCATTCTGCAAGCACTCAGAATGTCTCCCTGGCGTTCAGCCAGTGTTTCAGCATCTCCTCCTGGCTTTTTCCCATCAGATTACTCATGGGACAGGGATAAGGAACTTTTGAATTGGCTGTTTCCCTCCCCCACAAGCAGGAACTGTTGACCCCATGTGGGGTTTTGAATAAACCTTGAAATCTGTGTGCTTAAAATGGAACCTACTGGAAGAGAAAAAAAAAACGTGTGAGGAAGAGAAAGAGTTTGTGTGATTCGAGGATATTTACATCCTTCTGAAATGCCAGTCACTACATAAAACTGGGCAAAGCACATCTTTGGATGGCACTGTCCCTGGTCTTTCCCAGATCAACAGCTGGGAAGGTTTGCTGCAGTAGTCCTGTGTCCCATGGAGGAGTGATTATTAATTTGAAAAGCAATAATTTGGTGAAGCCTCAAGGCAGGGAGTTGCTCAGCAGGGCACTTGAACATGCATTCTGTACCCAAATACTTTAGGTAGGTGGGTAGTACACAACTAATGTGAATAACAGATAAGGAAATTAAATGTGCTAACTCTTATTTTGAATGCTGAGAACAAAGGGAGGAAATAGATGTTGCCTTCTCACACTTGCTTCCTCAAAATGTAGCTCTGGACTGGGATTAAAGTGGATGTGCTGGAATTTATGGCATTGGGGAACGCAGGGATTTGTCCACCTGTACCCTTCTCACCAGGATCTTTACTTGAGCATGTCTGGCTAAATCCCAGAGTCATTTAGGTTGGAAAAGATCTCTGAGATCATCGAGTCCCCACCTTGTCCCCCAGCCCAGAGCACTGAGTGCCACGTCCAGTCCTTCCTTGGGCATTGTTGACGTGAGACAAAGAGGGTTTTGTTAGTTTTCTGTGGAGCTGTTGAATTTGATCCACGTTTTATTAGTCATCCTCAGTGCCAAATTGAGAAAGCATCTCGAGTGGATGGGTTTGTGTCCAAGCCAACTGGGAAAGCTCTGTGTGCTGGGAAGGGCTGCTGGGGGGTGGGTGTACCCACCATGAGCACTCTGCCCATGGTTAACCAGGATTTGAAGTGACTCTAAGGCTTTGTCATTTTGCAGGAAGAGCTGTCCAGTTAGGCCTTGATGGAATGTCTGAAAATTGCCTTGTTGTTGTGATTCTGGGTTGGTTTTCTAATAGGAACTCCTTTAAAGAGGCGAATTTTGGTTGTTGGTTTCTCAAGTGAAGCTGCAGCTTTCACTTATTTTCCCCCCTGTTTCCAGCCACCACCCCCCCCTGCTGCACAGACTCTGCTAATTGGTTGGTTTTAAGCGTTTTCTAAAAGTAACTCCCAAGAGATAAGATCTCTTTTGTGTGGTGAAATGTGTTTGCTGTGAGATGAGTAACGAGGACCAGAATTTGCCAGATTATTATGGGAAGGACATGAGATAGTTAAACAACATCTTAAAAATGCCTCCTCTTCCAGCAAATGTCATTCCTAATTGCTTTAGCTGTGTGGTTGT